TGCCAATGAAATGCCATGTGTAAGTAATTTGTTTATAAAAAACTATTTACATGTGCTTTGAAGCACATCAGCAGAGTCCTCTGGAATTTTAAGAATACTGCCTAATCCTTCATCTTGATATCAGATCGCATTATGGACACATCTCCTGTAAAGTGAGACAGCTCAAGTAAGCAGGTGTAAAAAAAGCAAAGTGGCCCAGAGCAGTGGCTCCCCATTGCTTTGCAAGTGACTAGCGTTTGAGGGGTAAGATTGGTCTCTGACTCCTTAGGCGTTATTACCTCTGCAGAATTACATGACTTGAATGGGACTATTTTGCATGGCCTTGGCAAGTATGGGTGTAACTGCTGGTAGTGTTGCAGGAGGGAGGAAAGCTTTTGGAAGATTCTGTGGAATACACCAGGAATACACTAATCAAAGTCCTTGAACTCAATGATTGTTTTTGTCCCCCTCTGATATGGATTATTCTTACCTCTAAAGAGAAAAATCTATTGGATTGCTCTTCCAGAGCAGATTACGGAGCTTTTCTTTTCCAGGGCGGTGGTAATTTCTGCCAGCTTGCTTTATATTTTTACCCATTGCCTGTCTTGACCAAGATTTAGGCCTTTTATTTCTATAATTAAGTCATGTCAGAGGATTGCTGCTGAGGAACTGCTGGATTTCCCCTCTTGAGTTCTTCCTAGTTTAGAATGTCAAAGGTTAGAAAAGGGAAGCTCCAACTCGCTATAGTATGACTTGAAGGAGATTCCAGGCTTTCCTACTGCTGGGGACCAGAGAAAGGCTCATGTTCCTTAGGACTCTCGTGCTTTAGAAGGAGGCTTAAGACCTGTGCTTCTGAGTGAAAATCCTTTGTTTCCTGCCAAAAAACTAGTGATGGCCCAGCAGGCCACTATTGCTCCAGGTAGAAACTGTCCCAAAAAGATTCTAAGTAAACTTCTGCCTCAAATACAACTCCAGTGCATTTCTTCCCTTGCTGTCCAAGACCATGGAACAACTAAACATCTCGCGTAACAAAGGGCCTAATCCTATTCCTATTGACAAGGAGCAGGTAAAGCCTACGGGATCAGGCCCAGATTTAGGATTCTATACTCATTGTGGATGTGTACATTTAACATTAATGGGAATTATTTCTGTACACTGAATAAGACCTGGTCTACACTAGAAAATTAGGTTGTTTCATGCGGGGTGTGAAAAATCCAAACCCAGGAGCCATGTAGTTAAGATGACTTAAGTCCCTTCGTAGACAATACCAATAAAAGAATTCTTCCATTGACCTAGCTACTGCCTTGGGGGTGCAAGGGAAGGAAGGACATTTCAAGTGTAGACAAGCCCTAAGCATGTCACAATCTAAAGTGACTCAGGACTCTGCAAAATTCTCAGGACATACTTTTGACTGTTTCTTTACTGTTTGTAGATTTTCTCTGGCTTGCTGGTAAATCTCACAAGCATCGAATCTTGGCTTTTCTGGCTGACCTATTTCAGCATCCCTCGCTACGGCCTGACAGTGAGTGCTACATTTTCTGTGCATTGTGCTGGAAACACCTTTTGAAAGAGATCACCATTATCTTATAAGAAATAATATCAAACAATATTATTCCAGTTATAATTGGTAAATACAACTTACACAGATAAGTTCTCCCTGTCTCTTTACATTCTCAGTACAGTGCAGTTGGTCTCACAGTTTCAGATATGTTATTACATAGCTCAAGAAAATGCAGTCAATAGATAACAATCATAAATAGCAGTAGGGCCAGAAAAAGGTTACTCGAGTCATCCTGATTCTTTGCAGGTTGCAGAACTGCTCTCCACACTACATAATTAATACTAATGTCACGTAAGTATCTGCTATAATGGTGGTTCTCATTTCCTCTTAGAAGTATGAACAACTTCCTAACTCCTCTGCATTTTTCATTTCTTACATTTTGGCCATGGCTTATTTCATGTGAAACTGGATAATTCCCTTATTTTATTGCCATAACATTTTAATAATAGCATGCCTGGGTACCAATGAGATATAGGTAATGCTGAGGTGGAGTATTTAAAAACCGGATTATGTCAATTTCAGCAATAGCTACAAAGAAGGGAAAAGAGAGTGGCTTTCTCCTCCACAACCAAAAAACATAATAAAATCCTGGTTTTTCCGCATGTCTTTCACCTTTTCTATTTAGATTGTAAACTCTTCAAATGCGGGACTGGCTTTACTGTGCCAGGCATATACAAGCACAGAGTGAGTCCCAATTTCAATAAGGGCATCAGGCACAACTGTAACACAAATAAGTACACTCCTTTCAAATGTTTATACAGATTGCTACAGTGAGCCCAGTAGTGCTAATCTGAAAGCTGTATCCCTGTTGCTGCTGTAGAAGTGGCCTCTTTTGAACTATACACTTATATCATATATAACCATAATTCAGACCTTATTTTCTGATTTTTGTGACCTTTGCCACAGTCATGTGTCTTAAAATGATTTGCAATCCTGAACGCAGTATCTAAAAGATATTCTCTAGTTCAAACAGGAATTAATTTAGGGAACTTCTATGACTTGAGTATTACAGATGGTCAGACTAGATGATCACAATGGTTCCTTCTGCCGTTATAATTATGAAATTTAGTAGAGAATACACAGTCAATCTGATCAGTGTTTTGGAGCTGGCAGGGAGAAAAAAAAGAAGTGGCATGCCTTAGAGGCCTGTCATATAAAATAAATAATTGAAAAAGCTGAAAGAAATAGATATTGTGGCTTATAGCATAAGAGAAATGAGCCAGTAGGATTATTTTAGTTCAGAGACATTTTTGCTCTGTTTCAATGAGTTTCCATCGTGCAGGTCTCCCAATAGCAGTCTGTGCAGCAGCAGGCCCTGTGCCTATGGCAAAGATAACGTTTGCACTTATGTCACAAAGGGGGGTATTTTCACAGTATTTTACCAATACTTTAAATGTGATTATCTGAAAATTAAACTAAACTGTTTTCAGTGGAAGGATTTCTTCAAACACCCTAGAAAAAAAGCTTTGATTCCAGACAGTTTTTCAGATCTTGGCTTACAATATTGATATATACTTTAATGGAAACTTTTGTTGGTTTGTTTAGTATGTAGTAATTTATTAAACCTGCTTAGAGGTTCCCCCTTGACTATCTAATATTTTTGTTTTTATCTTTAAAGGCTTTGCAAATTAATGAATTTACAGGTCTAAGCTTTTGCCAGAACGCCAATGTGACTGGGGTCAATGTAAGCTGCATCACTTCTAGTCCATTTACAATGTAAGTATGCAGTTATTATAAACAAGTTCTTGCAAGGAGCCCAAGTTCCGTAAACTACAAAATTGAATTTGAGATTTTTTTTTTTCATTGTTTTCCTGGTGCCTCAGCTGCCAGTGGGTCTATGCTTTATAACTGAATACTTAGCCTCTGGAGCAGTCTCTGGTTTTCAAATATTTGGTGGTTCATTTCAGATAAGTCATGTAAAGCTTAGACATTTAAAACTATTTCAAGTGCTAGAGAAGGTAGAGGGGACAATTTTTAAAGAAAGCATTTGAGAGAATAGATAGTGATCCTGGAACAGTTTAAAATCTGTTCTTGAAAACCATTTCAGGACATGGCAAGTTTTCCTGTGTAGAAAAGGACCTAACAGACTATTTTTAATGTGTGCTTTATATTTGTAATATTAATTTCTTATTGCATATCTAAAATTGCACTTTGAAGAAGATCTCATAGTTTATTACCAAAGAATAGTGAAGGGAAGAGGAATTTCCCTTAGTCTTGGTACTCTCTGCTAGGTTGTACTCAGCTAATCTCTTCAAATGCTTCACAAAGACTTTTAAGTTCAGATTTTTCTTTTCTCCACAATATGCAACATGCTAACTTGCAAAATTTGCTAGCTTGAGGCCCTAAAAAGTATTACAAGTCCAAGGCCTCTTCAGCGTAGAGTAACTATTTATGCAGGCTGATGCGAACTGAATAGCAAAGGTTCAAATTCAGTATTAGAGTTGAGGTTTGAACCTGTTTTTTTTCCTGACACAGGTTAATCTATCCTTGGTCACCATTCTGTTTGTTTGCATTGGACCAAAGCATTTTTCAGCAAAATTATGACAACAGGCAAATTAAATATTCAGTTACAGATCTTTACAAAGGGTTAACTTTTTAAACTTTAATTTGTATTGACTAGCTGCACTGGAGAAGAATATTTGAAAATGCAAGGCATTGAAGTGTCTGCTTGGGGCATGTGGAGGAATTATGTGGCTCTTCTATGCATGACACTAATCTTCTTTACAATTGCATATTTGAAACTGCGCTTCCTGAAGAAGTTCTCTTAATTCAGCTGAGTTAACAAGCATCTAGTATAACACAATGCAATGCAGTTTTGATAGTGAATGGACTAAAAATGTTTTAACATTTTCAAAGATTACATTAAAGATTTTGATAACTGTGTTCAGTTTTTACTAATACTGCTTGCTACCGAGCTACATCTATTACAAAGGTCTCACGCGCATGGAGACAGCAGAGGATTGTTGACAGCTTACAATTTAGGCCGGGGATTTCCAGGGACCAAGGAATGCTGTAGAAACCCCAGATCAGCAGTAAGGGAGATGTAAACAGAGAAGCATCTTTGACATCCTAAGGTGACAAAGGCTTAGTCTGCATTATTGATAGTGGCAGACAGCTAGCTCAAGAAAGCACTTGAAAAAAATATCTAAACATGTCTACCTAGAAATATATAGTTTAAAAAACTATATAAAAGTGAAGTTGGATGAGAATTTAGTTTTCTTATCTAATGCAGATGGGCAGGGCAGTAAGTGAAACTGACTAGGCCTTCAATTTCCTTTGGGTTCTACCAAACAAGAGGATCAGTGTGGTTCTGCAGCCATATTTTTTTAATTTTTAAAACAGTACAGGGGGATGGGAAGAAGGGGGAAGAGAAAAGCAACATGTCAAATACAGGACACTGACCATAATGAGACGGATTTAAATGCAGCCTATTTTTGTCCATAATTCTCATACACATTGGTGATTTTCATATGTAAAATCTTTATTAGGAAGTAAAGTGCTCAGTATTATAGACCAATAAATCTTTGATAACTGTGGAAGACTTGCATAATTAACAGCTTCCTAATAAGACCAAATGCTAATGCAAAACTTTACACTTACTTAGAAGAAACCCTTTACCCTAGAAACAAAGTAACAGTTACAAGAGAATCTAAACTTAAAATGAAACCATAATAAAAAATGTATAACACATTTGTCTAGTTGCCATGTACCTCTTGCATGGCACATTGTCAACACACATGGATAGCCCATGAAAACTTACTGCACTTCAAAATGAAGTTTGTTATTAAGTAACGACACGTTACAGATATACAGATGAACAAATATAGCTATGAATGCAAACATTTTGGTTTTCATAATTAACATACTAATAAAAGAAAAGCTTTGTTCGATATTAGTTTAGAGAAAGGTACAATTTTAGGACACATTTAAAGCCACAGTGATAGCTGTAGTGTTTTGAAAAGACAACTTCACAAATGCAAATTTCCTTAGTTCTGCAGCATGATATTGCAGCAACATCCAACATGTCTTGTCTTTATAACAAAAGATCACTTTAACTGTGAAGTCAAAGTGTTTGGTCAGATGATTGGTTTTAAACTTTAACTACATGACATATAATACTGTATCTGGCATTTTGATATTCCTATGCCCCAACAGACCAAATGCTAATTTTTTAGAGCTTACAAAAACAATCTTACCGTATGCCAAACCATTAGCCAACTGACCCCTTGAAATATACCTCCTACACAGTAATGTAACAGAAGGTTTTGTATACTATTATTAAGGCTTAGATTATGTCACGGAAGTCCAGGATTCCATGACTTTCAGAGACCTCCATGACACTTTCCGCTTCAGCCCCATGGAGGCAGGACTGAAGCTATCAGGGACCCTGGTGCTCTGAGCCGCTGTGGGCTTAGGAGGGCCCACCATACAACTTCCAGCTTCCACAGGCAGTGGGGGGGGGACCCCAGAGTGTGAGCCACAGTGGCAGCAGGTGCTAGACCTCTCCTCCCCTCCTGCAGCGGGACTCAGGCTTTCATCCCCCTGTCAGCCCCATTTTGTCAGTTATTTTTAGTAAAAGTCAGGGGCTTCAGTGAATTTTTGTTTATTGCCAGTGACTTATCCCTAACTTTTACTAAAAATAACTGTGATAAAATCCTAACCTTAACTATTTGGATTAATTTCTTATCCACTTGGCAGTGGTGGAGCTTGACCGATAGTCTGTTGGGAAATTTCAGCTCTCAGTAGGGGAGAAGTCCCTTCATCTAAGATGAGTAAGTTACTGAACATGCACTTTCTTGTAAATTTAACATAAGAAAAGTTTTGTTTTTATCAAGGACTAGTGCTCTGGTCATATGGAATGTGTCTTGGATGACACCGTAACATGACAACAAGTGCTGGTATATATAGATATGGGAAAACTGCAATATTTGGAGGTGTATTTGATTCAATACTAAACCAAAAATACTAACACAAAAATATAAGGTACTTAAGGTTAATTACAGGAAGCAATTCCTATAATAAGCACAACATGAAAGCCACCAGCATCAATAAAAAAGCATGGACATTTTCCTTCTTACACCCTACAAATCTACGCACTTAGAATACTGTGTACTTCATCTGAATATTAAGTTTTCCATTTCCCTTTAAACCTACAGTTAGTCTTAAGGCAACTGTCAGCTTAAGTGAAGACTCCCACATTTTACTAGATCTAAATATATACTACTATCAAAAATAGTACATATTTGCCTCTAATTTTCTGTACACCAAACTCAAATCACTATCAGGGCTGTTGCTGCTTCAAAGCTCTACTGCAGTCTCAAATCCAGCAAGCCTTGTACTAAAAAGTGCTGATTATACTAAAGACTACAATTTCAAAAGGATGTAGCGTAGTTCCCTACAGAAAAACGTGTACATGCAGAAATATACCTCCAATTGCTCATGCAGGTCAGTGCATACATAAGAAACTAATTAGGCCCTTGCCTTTGAATTGGAATGAAAACTTGCTAGAGCTAATCAGAAATGTTCAAAATGTCAATTTCTCTCTCCCCTTGCATCCCCCAAGATTAATTGATGTTTTTCACAACTTATCTAATGTTTACCTAATTTCTGCATGAATTGTAGAAAGGGTAGGTGCAGTTTTGGATGCAGAGCTCAGAGGTCTTCCTTTTTGAAAATTTGGCCCTAAAAGCCAGCTATGGACAGACACAAAGACAACAATGATCACATTAGTTATGTGTAAATAGAAATTGATCCAATAAAAGATATTACCGTACCCACTTTGTCTCTTTTATGTGTAAAGAAGTTCCCAAAGAACTACTTTTAAAACACTAAAATATATGAAGTACTAAATATATGAAGTAACATTCCCTATGTATCAGTGCACTATTGCCTTTTTCCTCTGGCAATAGTGCACTGATATGCACTATTCATATGCTTCTTGCATATGCATATGCATCTACTTCATAATAAAAATGAACTAAACACGACCTTCTGTCAGAGGAAAAAGGCAATAGTGCACTGATACATAGGGAATGTGCCTTTAAAATAAATTAAAGAAAATCTTAGCACACTAAAGGAAAACTCCAGAATAAGAAGAAGATTGTGTTACTTGTTTGTAATTTGTGTTGAATATAATTAACAGGAATAACTATATAGGAAGTCACCTTATTAATACATTTTAGAATAGGAATTTAAGAATAATATTTCCCATTATAAAGCACTGGAAATCTAAGCATTTGAGTTGAGAAGTTAAATGCATTTTTGGCTAACTATTAATCAAAACTTTTAGAAGAGATTTACTTCACAACAACTTTGAAACTAATTTCCAGCATTATCTAATGGGAAAGTAGATTCTTACAGTCCTATTTTACATAACCAAAATGAGCTCCTGCTGCATAGCAAGCATTAAGATGGGAGTACTTAGGAAAAAAACAACAGCTGCATTTACTGAATGAAGACAGGAAAACTGTAAAACCCTCTGGCACAGATCCTATAAGTGCAGCCACTTGAAGCAATGCTACTGGTGGATTATGGGCCTAAAGCCAGTGTAGGTGGCAATGGGAATATCACCCTATTTAGTGGGGTGAGTAGGTAATGCCAACTTTACATCTGTCAGCTGCTGACACAGTGGTTGTAGATTAGATGTCCCTATGGCCTACTGATCAATCCCCAGATGGGACACTGGGAGCTTTAACATTCATCACTGTTTTTGGAAAACAAAATAGTAAATAGCGTATTTGCTGTTATAATACAGGATTGAAATTTTAAAACAACCCATTGACTAATAATATTACACATGGATGTTGCTCCCGCCATTCCCTCCTCCACTTCCATCAATGCCTTCTGTTGACTGAGAGGAGGATGGACGGGAATTCCTAGAACGAGGCTGGCTATTCAGTCCAAGTGGCGTTCCCAAGCGGTGGCTCATTTGGGAAGCTGTGTCATCCGATTCCCAACGCTCCAGTTCCTCCCGCACTAACCTCTCCATTTGTTCCCTGTGGATTTCATTGTCACGTCCCAATCTTTCATCCTAAATACAAAGAAAGATACAACTCGCTGTGTAATCTTCCAAATTTGATTGTGAACAAAATCTGGAAGAAGGTATAAAATATTCTAAAAGACATCTCAGATGAATTCATGCCATAGTGTGGCTTTGTACTAAACCAAGCACTGAACAAGAGGTAAAGGTACTGTTGTAGCAGCTGCAGAATAGTGACAACAAGTTTTTATACTGTGCCCATCACCATGGTATGACAGAGCCTTCACACAGTGATGTGTTAATTCACTATGATAACTAGTCTCTGGCTGGACTTTGATCAAGTGTTTGTAAATAAACCCAAAATGGAGTCTGATAGTCACTGGCTTAACATTGCTAAGGTGCCTACCTCAGTTATCACAATCCTATGTGTGAAGTAGTAGAAAAGCAAAGTAGAAACAAATGAGCTCATCATCTAACTTACATGGAAAACAGCTCTTTAGTTAGGATCAGTCAACTGACTGCTCAAGTCATACTGGGGGTTTCTTACCTCTGTAACTCCATCTAGCAGTCTTCCCAACACATCTCTCCTTTTCAGTTTAGCCCGCTCCATTGCCTCAAGCTTTACAATAACAGCATCAATTTTGGAAACAATACTGCCTATGGAATGTTCCATGCGATCCACTCGTCTCACCAACCTGAAGGCAACAGATATTTGCAAATTTTAATGTTACTGACATTTTCAAGTCATTAATTTGGTTTTAGCTAATCGACTTGTAGGAAGTGGAAAGTTCATCAGATGACATTTGTACAGTTTTTATTAAACCGACAAACCAAAATGACAATGGAATAATTTGTAATTTTCTCAGCAAGGGAGAGGGCGACGGCAAGTGTAAAACTCCTAAATTATGTCCTTCGATTTCCTTCTCTTTAGGGGATATCCTATCATATAAACTGTACAGGAATGGAGGGCCGGGTGGGGCTCACTCAAGAGCTGGTCAGTACCACTTCTGGTGTTTGGTACAGATTGTACAAGAGGCACTCTGCTTTCCACAGACGAGAGTGCTACTTCCATAGCATCCTTGGTGGAAGATTTTGGGCCCGGAAATGAATCCCAGCACACGGTCACTAAAACACACATTTCTGCAATACTTTGAGAGAGAAGAAAAAAATAAGTAGAACTGTTGCTACTTCTTAGGAGAGACGTGCATTCCCATGGTGAATGAAGGGTTCCATATTCTGATCTGTATGTACTCTAACTGAGCTAGATGTTTACAGGCTTGCATAATGTTTTTTTATATTTATATAATACAATCATTTTCTACAATCATGGTCTACAGAAATACAGCATCTAGGTTTATTTTTTCCCTTGATCTAGTTACCTAATTACCCACCCACCCCTCCTGTCAAACAAGTTTCATATAACAGCTGGTGAACATAGCAGACAACCTTAAAGTTAATGGAATGTTTTAAAGTGAAGGGGATTTAGAAAGCAAGTAACAAGTGTTAATTACGCTGTAATATTTCTAATGAAGTTAATCCCATCCCAAGCAAATTAACTGATATGTTCTACTTCCTATATGGAGATAAGGAAAATACATCTGCCCCACAGGCATTTGATTGCGGACATGTTAACTAGTACAGTTTGGGATCATTACACACAGTTACTACTGAACAAGGAAGATGGTCAATCAGGTTCTAGCAACCCTAAGTCATAACCACTTCATTCATCCTTGCTGTGACTGAGGCCTATAGAGAGAGACCATTTCAGTCAAATATACAAGCATAAGTAATACAAATTCCTGCCAATCCTTTAGTTCTATTTGAATGTACAATAACCTCGATTTTTGTCTGATGAAAGAAGAGCAGAGCAGGCTTTTAGAATTAGTCTATCATTGACAATGTTTCTTTCAGCTTGTCAGCCACTGTATGAGCATGGATGAAATTCTTCCACAAACACCTGAGAGCAGAGGTGTTAACTTGGACTCTGGTGTGATATGGCTCATTCTTACAGTAATTACACCAAAGAGGCTCAGGGCTTGTCTACACAACAATTTAGTGCGTGGCAAGCCAGGATGTGAATCTACAATGCACTAGCGTCCTGCACATTAACTGGGTGCCAGTTAATGCACCGCAGAATTACGACGGGCTTGCTGCACACTAAATTGCCATACATATGCCCTCATTAGACACCAACCAAATTAAAGTAGGAAAACCCCATATTTCTTTGAGTGTCCTCTGCACATTCCTACTTTTGGGCTGTGCCAATCGGTGCTGCACTGAATATGCAGAGTCCATCTTGAAGATTCCTAGTTACAGGTAAGTAACCTTCATTTTGCACCAATTTTTTTTTTTGAGTTGGTTATTTATTTAAATCTGGGAGCTACTATTTCTTTTGTTTCATTTTCATCCAGGATCCTCTAACAACAACTTTAAATGCAGAGAATAGATTTCAAGTGATAAATAGCTATTTATACAGTTAGCTTTGTAACACATTTCTTAGATTTCATTTGGTTAATTCCCAGAATTATATTGGAGGGCAACATATATTTAAAAAAACCCACACACTGCAGCACTGCTTGCACTTACACTTGGAACTCTTCATATGAAACCCCACTAGAGCTGCTACCTCTTCTTCTAGAGCTGTGTCCACTGTCCTCATCATCGTCCTCTTCAGAGTCATCCAGACTGCGAGGGAAGCTTCGACCACTCATTGGACGTGGTAGAGAGCTCCTGTCCAGATCCAAATCCTCCTTCATGAAAAACAAACGTTATCCATAGACTTTCACCTGTGTGCTGAAGGTCAAGGCTGCATGACCTCATTCACTGAACTACCTTTCACCCTTTTATAGTTTTTTGGGAGTAAATGTTAGGCAACCTAATAGATTAGTAAGTCTAAATCAAATGCAAATGAGAATTGGTGCTTAGAAACTCCATTGACCCAACTGATGGTGTTCAAGTTCTTCCAATTGCCCTAAAGCATGACTTACCCTTTCTTTCTCTAGATCATCTCTCATTTGCTGATGTTCGTGTTCTGTCAATTCCTGATCCCCATCCTGGTCATACTTAGTAAATATTGCTTCAATCTCTGCATCCGTGTGACCCTTCCTGAAAAGAAGATAAAATGGACCCCCTTTTTTTTGATGTTTTGCGAAAAATGTTGGGGGTGAGGGTGGGGAGAAGAGACAACAAAAAAGTCTTAACTACAGTAAATTCTCTAAAAGCCAAAGAACATGCCTAATTCAATGCTGCCTACAAGCTTTCGCATCACGAATCCAAGTCCACTAACCATGCTGGCAAAGCTTGGGTACATATCAGCAAGTCTTGGCCCCAGCCCATTGCTTTAGAGGTTTTTTTCCTGCCTAACAGCATCTCTCTCTTTTCTCTGGATTGCATTTAAGACAGTTTCCTCTTATCCACATCCCTAATTGTGACTAGCACTGTAAAAACAAAGAGAATGCAGTATCTCTGTATGATCAACAGAAGCTCTAGTCCTAACTACCATCTGCATGCAGGTGACTCTGCAGACCAAAACATTTCATGAACTACCCCAGATTCTGCTTAACAGGACAGGTGACAAAATGAAACTTTACGGGACCCCATTTACAAGAGCACTTGAGGGAGGAAAGGTTCTTCATTTGCCTGTCTTTGGTATCAGTGAGACAGGAACACATCTACTATAAGACAAAACCCATCCATCCTCATGAAATCCTGCAGGAAAGTCAGACTCAAAGGCTATTGAGAGATCTGGAAAAAAAAAATCAGCTTGCATCCATCACTGGAAAGATTGTTCTCTATGGATTTTAATACCACCTTCATACCATACATATGTCTAAAACCCCTTGTCAGAATGGAGAACACATGTTGAATCAAAAATGCAACTGAGTTGCTCAAATGCCAACTTCTAAACCTTCCAAAAATAAGAGGAGGCTAGAAAGAGGGCAATAGTTGGTAAGCCTTTTGAGCAGGGTCCTACTTAAATGCCGCTACCATCTTTCTCTCCATGAATTGTTACCAATCCTCTTCAATAATGGTGCCAAAACTTCTCGGTTGATCCTCACTCACCATGAAGGGGAAGGGTCCAACTTACAGGCAACTAGCCAAGAAAAGTTAGTTACCTCACTCCAGCTCACACCATTAGCCATTATTTCTCTCTTCCCGCACCCCTCATTTTTTGGGAGGTTTGTTTCTGCAATGTCCTTGGACTTTCCTGAAACACTGCAGATTTTCCAGCACCCTATTTATTTACATAAAAACCCTTCTGTTAGATACAAAAGGAAGCATAAGTTTTATTAGCAACCCACCTGACATGGAAGCATTCCTACATATTGTTTTTATTTGCATTAATGTATCTTAACAAAGACTTCACCCCCGCTCACACCCTACAGGCCTGGAGGAAATCAGACAGATTCTTTGCATCACAAGTCCCTTGGGAATATTGTTTAAGATACAAAATACTGGTTTCCTTACCCCTTGAGATCCTGTCGTAGTTCATCAAAGTTTAACTTTCCCCCACCTTGTCGCAAGTTCTCTGAAATGTCATCAACAGTAGTTTTTTTCAATTTAAGTTTAATCATGGCTTTATTGTATCCCTAACGGAGAAAATAAAATGAGAGGAAAATAAAACTACTTCTAATGGCATACTTAATTTTGTTTTGCTTGTTGTTTCATGTAAAGAAGATTGCTTGCATTCCTGAATGAAGTCAAACCTCATTTAATATTTTCTGACAAGCACTGGAGGAATCATATAATCATAGGAGTGGAAGGGACCTCGAGACGTCATCTAGTCCAGTCCCCTGCACTCATGGCAGGACTAAGTATGATCTTCTAGACCAGGGGTTTTCAAACTTCATTGCACCGCGATCCCCTTCTGAAAACAAAAATTATTATACGATTCCAGGAAGGGGGACTGAAGCCTGAGCCTGCCCAAGTCTTGCAGCCCTGGGCGGTGGGTGGGGGGTAAAGCCGAAGCCCAAGGGCTTCAGCCCCAGGCAGGGGGCCAGTAACTTGAGCCCCGACACCCAGGACTGAAGGTGGTGGGGCTTGGGCTTCGGCAAGTCCAAGCCAGCCCAAGCAACCCCATTAAAATGGGGTGGCAACCCACTTTGGGGTCACGACCCACAGTTTGAGAACCGCTGTTCTAGACCATCCCTGACAGGTGTTTGTCTAACCCACTCTTAAAAATCTCCAATTATGGAGATTCCACAACCTCCCAAGGCTATTTCGCCTAGTGATTAACTTCCCTGATAGTTAGGAAGTTTTTCAACCTAAACCTCCCTTGCTGCAATTTAAGCCCATTGCTTCTTGTCCTATCATCAGAGGTTAACGAGAACAATCATCCTCCCTCCCTCCTTGTAACAACCTTTGATGTACTTGAAAACTATCATGTTCCCTCTCAGCCTTCTCTTCTCCAGACTAAACAAACACAATTTTTTAAATCTTCCCTCATAGGTCATGTTTTCTAGACCTTTAATCATTTTTGTTCCTCTTCTCTGGACTTTCTCCAATTTGTCCACATCTTTCCTGAAATGTGGTGCCCAGAATTGGACACAATACTCCATCTGAGGACTAATCAGTGCGGAGTAGAGCAGAAGAATTACTTCTTGTGTCTTGCTTACAACACCCCTGCTAATACATCCCAGAATATTTGCCTTTTTTTTTGCAACAGTGTTACACTGTTGACTCTTACTTAGCTTGTGATCCAGTATGACCCCCCAGATCCTTTTCTGCAGTACTCCTTCCTAAGCAGTCATTTCCCATTTTGTATGTGTTCAACTGATTGTTCCTTCCTAAATGGAGTACTTTGCATTTGTCATTATTGAATTTCATCCTATTTACTTCAGACCATTTCTCCAGTTTGTCCAGATCAATTTGAATTTTAATCCTATCCTCCAAAGCACTTGCAACCCCTCCCAGCTTGGTATCGGCCACAAACTTTAGAAGTGCTCTCTCTATGCCATTATCTACATTATTGATGAAAATATTGAACAAAACCGGACCCAGAACTGATCCCTGGGGGGCCTCACTTGTTATGCCCTTCCAGATGACTGTGAATCACTGATAAGTACTCTCTGGGAATGGTTTCCCAACCAGTTTTGCACCCACCTTATAGTAGCTCCATCTAGGTTGCATTTCCCTAGTTTGTTTATGAGGTCACG